TAAACAAATGTCGCATTTCATGCGTTCCGTGTAAACACGTTTTCACATGTGAACAGAGCGTCAACCATATCTACATCACCGATATGATTGATGGATCGTGTGTGCACTAAATCGCTCTGCGATGAAAAATACCGACTTGAATGCGGTGAAAAATAAATTCAACATTGATACATTTTATTGTATAATATATATGTATAAAAAAATAGGTGTGTAATTTATAAGGCATGAATTATAAATTCAAGCAACTTTTTTTTCTTTGCCATTAATCTTAAATATCATATATCTTTTACGCAAATTTAACAGCATTAAAAGATCTAAATATTTTTTCACTACTCACTCAATCGCACGCACACATACACACGTGCGCATATAATTCATCTCACATCTAAAATCCTTATATTTTCTAAAAAGAATTAGAACTACAATTTGATAATTTAAATTTATACTTATTTTATATTGAGATTTTTCAAAGCTTGGATTAAAGACATGTAAAATTCCAATATAGATTCCAGTAATAAAATATAATCAGCATCTAATCGCGATTAACATCGCGTATTTTTTTCGAGATTTTCTGTTCAGGTAGAACTAAATATAGACAAAAGGTAGAATTATTTAACAATATCCTTAAACTAGAGCATTTACTGTTATAGCTACTATCCGGATATAATTGAGATTATCGATTACAGATTATACATATTCCATTACATGTAACTATGTCGTATAATGCATATACGTGCCAATGAGATATCGATGACATTTCAAGACAACCTCTTCCGGAGGTAGCAAGCGTGATATCATCTGCAAGACGTATACACTCTGTGTCAGTTGCCATTAATCAAAGCTCACTGACCGCGAGCACTCGAGACGTATCGCGAGTCGACATTGCTTCGACAATCTTATTTATAGAATTGTTCTACTGTGAGTAAGACTCAGTGAAATGTCTTCTGCAAATTTCACAAAATGCTATTTGTCATGTTCACACATTCGTCATATCTTTTTTTGTATTTAGGTATTATAAGATTTATTTAAAGATTACCACCTAACTATTTTACGCGCATTTAAGTAATATACACGTGAATTGTGTAGACACTCTCATATTGAAAATCGTTATATCTTTTATAAAAAGATTAAGACTACAGTTTAACTATAGTTTAATAATTTAATATTATACTTATTTCACATAGATTGTCTCTTTTAACTTGAATCAAAAATTCTATCGCGATCCTCTCTGATCACGAAACTTACTGCTCACATTGAACTGGATATTTTAAGGGATCTTAAATAAATGAATGAATGGTAGACCAATCTTTGTTCTCGTGTACTGCGATTGAAAATTTTACTTATAAATCTCTTCGTTCCGCAGTATAGCCTGTAAAACCAGTCGCGGCACTTAATTGGGTCACATTGGTGCGCGTTTTACCGTCACTCTTTAATAATTCCAGGTTTCCCTCTCTTAGTTGAGTGCGGAACCCGCAGCTACACGCATGCAGGACCTGCATGGGTGTGCGCGACCACGGTTAGATGCATTCCGGACATATACAACGCGAACAGGATGAAATCGCGGCGATTTATAACACCGACGCCAACGCGCTATCTCGCTGCGTCCAGCTCCCGCGAGAGTAGCTCTCTTACGATGTAAGGCTGCTTGGTGACTTTGTACACGCCTTTAACGTTGCTGGTGTATGTAACGTCTTTTTCACGCTTTGGTATTTTATTCTCCTTATAAACTGGGCTTCTTGGCGAAGCATATTTTAAGAAATTTCCATCTGGCAACGAAATATTAAATGATTCCCACTGCTCTTCTCCAGTTATTTTTTGAGTTACACGTGTGTTGTTAGATTCTTTTTTTTTCTATTTCGTTTTTATTAAATAATTGAAGAAAGCTTGCATAGTTTGAATATATATATTAGATTATTTAAAAAGTAAAATATTTATTTAAATTTTAGAAATTCAACGTATACATGCTGTGCAGTATTTTTCAGTTTTGTCAACGTGACAGTGGATTTTCTTGTAACGGAAATATGACAATATCAAAGTTTTAAAATATCCATGTCACAGCAGAAAGATAACAATTAATTCGTAACAATATAACGCTCGTACTTACCTGATTTTTACAGCACTATGAAAAAACGATTTATTTATTTCGCGCAAGTTGTGAGCAGTTTTATGTTAGATTGGTATGTTGAAAATTTTACAGCTTGTTACTCTGTGCAGTGTGCAGCTAAATTGACAGCATGCTGCACGATGTGTAAAAATTCTTCATTAAATTTTTCCGCTATTAATAAAACACGCTTCGAGTCTGTCAAGCGTTAACCCTTTTGCCGCGAGAGATGGAAATTTACACAAACAAACGCTCGTACGTTATGCGTCAGATAATAATTTTAGGCAATTATGTTTTATTGGATTAATCGTTCCAACCATAAATTCACGCTACAGCACATGAAGACAATTACATATCTTTTTATTGAATTATTATCTATACACATTTATCCTATCATTTATCGTATCGAAATTCATGCACAATTAGTGCAAGTGTTAATTTCAGGAAGTTTATTTTACAAATTGCAATGTTGCATTTACTAATATCAGAATTTTTCGCTTTTAATATTAATCGCTTTATTAGACTTTGCATTCGTGTTTGCGACAGTGAATCATTTTTTTAACTGTAATGTTTTTTTATCGTTACTTTTATGCGGAGTTCTAGTGCCGGCATCTCGCCGATCTTAAAAACTTCGATATTGCATTTTGAACAATATGGTTCTTTGTCATCAATTCTTTAAAGAACCGGAGGGATTCATAAATTTTGTTCCGCGCCGCCAACGCGAGCGTCGCATCGTAAAGTTGCATGTTTTCCGCATCCATTGCTAAAGCGTTCCAAGCGTGCGGGTGCGAACCACCCGTTGATATTATTCGCTCATAAAAGTCCTAAAAGGATAATTGTAATTTTATTGCAATACTCTACATAATGAATTATATTTTAAATAATTTTTATTGGAAAATATCTTTAGAATTTTTTTCTATATGTGCTGTATATTTATTTCTTACAACAGTGATAATAACAACTTACTTTGTTGCTCATTTAATTACTAAAGTTTGACTTATTTTTTAACAAGGAATCATTCTATATTTATATGTATCACGATGATCATCGCATCACGCCGCATCACGCCGCATCACGCCGCATTTTGTATATAGGTGTATGTTATCTACGTATAATATTGCAATTTTTCTAAAAATGAGAATTTCTCTTCTCTGTCTTGTTATCCTTGCAACATTGCGCGTCTAGTGCAATTAAAAACTCATCTTTATCGAGAATCTATTTTGTCATGTCTGTTATGTTACATATAAAAAAGATACCACAAAATCGTCGAATTCGTGCTTGTTGAGATCCACTAGACACGAGCGTGCAACATGCAGAAGTTGATTAGAAATGTGGATAGACAGGCACGCGATCATCTTTTGGAGTTAGTTAGATTCGTCCGTTTGTGCTTATAGTTGTAGGTCAAATGATTTATTCGCCGTCTCGAAAATCGTCGGTAAAATTGTTAAATAGTCACTCGCTTTTTAATAGTTTTTATCGTGTAAAATATAAACGACATCTAACACTTTTGCGAGGTTTCACATGGTCAGATATAACTTCAGAGATATAAAAGTTATTCTTCGAAAAAGATTCGCGACATTTTTTTGGCGTATCGGATTTTCTATGCAAACTGTTCATGCTTTGGCTTGTGTGGCAGCATAGACACGTGTGGCGTGAAAAATGCATGAGAATCAAGTTACGCGACTAGCAACGACACTATTGCGTATTGAATATTTTCCTCCGGCTGTGTTAGATCAGCTAGCTTGGAAATCTGGAAACGCGTGCCCCGATGCGACCGTTCTTTCAAGGCAAACGCGAAAAGTTGCAAACATCCGTGTTGTGCGCGCTGCAAAATCTCATCTCGTAGATATAGAGACTTATTCGATAAAACTTTCAAAATGTGATAATCAATTCTTTTCCATATTTCTTGCCTTTATGGTGTTCGCGCGATATGCTCGGAATTAATTAAGATTTGCATAAATTTGATCTAATCACGGATTTAATGGTAATCCAAAGACAAGGAAAACATATCGCTTTCGGATACACTTATCTTGGAAGCGTTATACGCGGATATACAGCGAAATTAATTTTGAAATTATTGTCTAATGAAAATTGGTAAATTATTATCAGCTACAGCTGAAACAAAGTACTCCAAATATTATTGTAGACGAAAAAGATGTCGAAACTGGAGTATTAAAACTATACTTTATCAAAACTAATACAAATCTAATATGATCTGTTTAATTACTTATTTACAACTGATATATTCTTTTTTCGTATATTCTTTGCAATTTTCACACGAATAACACAAATGTCGGTCTTTTATTTGACCAGTGTCAAGCCATAAAGCTTTCGTCGCAGACGAATATTATTGAATTTATTTCCACAGAATTCTTGGCAGAGTTTGCGTAACATCTGCGAAAGATTTCCAAGTGATGCCATGGCGCCGCTTTCGAGCCGTCGAAAGGGAACGTGAAAAGTTACGAAGAACGTAGGAACGAGGAGGTATCTCGTTCTTGGGTGTCGGCAGTCCACGCGCACGGATGAATAGAGTTCCTGGAGGTCCTACCGCGAGGAGATCGATGGAGCCACGTTCAATCTGTCGGTGCGACCCGAGCTACTTCCTGCGTGCATTCCCGTACACTTATTCTCGGTGTATCTCGCAAACAAGTGCGCTGACGATGGAATGGAGACGCAGAGAATGCGGTGTTTTATACTATGCGCACACGATGGTACGATAAGGATACGAAACGTCGCTCCGGAAATAGATCTTGCCTCGTCGACAGAACGGAGCCTGGCTTCGTCTTGGTTTTTAATAATAACGTTCAAACTTTGATAAAACGTGAAATCTTTGTTAGGGACCGGATAAAGATAGCGGTAAACATTGGAATTTAACACGCGGTTGTTACTTTTTTTACAGTTACCCGTCTCTTGACCGCAGCCGGGCGTGAAAGCAGCCGTGCGTTTATGCGGAACGCTTTTGTGTGCCAGTTGAAGCTGGACATGGACCAAATCGTACATATCTTCCATAAAAGGTAAGTGCTATCCATGCTTGTTATTTCCTCTCGTTCTCTTGGATCATTGAACTAGGATGCTTTTTTCAGTTTTCAGACTTCGTGAAATAGTCTGAAAACTCTAGTAAATTTTTGTTTTACTTTTGCTGTTTCTCTCTTTGTTTAATGTGCTTGTGATTAAATAATCGCGCATGTCCGTTTTTTATCACAAATCTTTCATTGGGAGTTTTAGGTAGCTTTAAGTTTTTAGAGGAATAGTTTTTATCCGAAATTTTTCATAAGAAAATAGGTAATGTTGAAGATTTTTCTTCCTTCCTTTTCAAATCAATGAAAATCTCACGTATATATTCTACATGGCGCTTGTCGTCGGAATCGAATATGTTCCGAGCGCGAGAAAATGTCTCGTTTGAACGAGACGCGCGATACAAACTAAAGGAGGAGGCACTGATGTCATCACCGTCAACTATACGTGCGGAATTCTAATTCGTCAGGTTCGATTTGCGAAACTTCTCGCGCGAGATTTTACAGCAACGATTCTTCACCCCATTGCGTGCGTGGCGCGATGCACAGCCGTTGTCAAATCACGTCCGATGCTTCTCCTGATTCGAGTAAGTTATCGCGTGAAACACGGCAAAATTGTTCAATTATACCGAATACGTGACGCATGATATACGTGATCAATTTGCATCAGTGCGGGTCGTAAGCGTGAGGTATCAGTTTCGACATACGTACAATTTGCGAAACTAAAAAAGCAGCACAAAACAGTGCTTTAAAAATATATTATGCAGTTTTATATCTCAAGAGTTTTCAGAGTGTCTATAATTCTTAATTGAATATCGTGGAGTTTGTGAAACCGCTATTTTAGAGCTTCGTCCTTTATATTTTGATTATATTCTTTTGACATATATTTTGTATTTTTGAACTTATTTTATACATTTTATCTTTTTAAAAATTAAAATTTTTAATTAGTTATTATTCAATTTTAGATTTTTTTACTCATTTGTATATACTACTACTTTTATAATTGTATAATAATAATAATTATAATAATTTATTTTTTATCAATACTATTTTTTCACACTAAAAGAAAAAAGCGGTTTGACATAGTCCATGACACAATTTTTTGAGAAACAAAATGATATCAACCATGAAAAATAATTATGTGTGCTCTTTAAAATAAACTTATTCAGTTATATTTACCTTAAGACGTAAGTTACACTTACCTGTATTACATCGAAGATAATCTCGTCCAGGTTGTTTCTACAATTAGTGCCGTGAGATATTCAATAAGAGAAGACGATTTTTTGTAAAATGCATGTCATATATTACGTGATTTCGTTTTTATCACGAAAAACGTTAGATTTAGTTTAAATTCATATATTATAACACGTGATCTCTCTCTTTCTCTCTCTTCTCTCTCTCTCTCTCTCTCTCTCTCTCTCTGTCTCACACAATCTCTCATGGAGATTTAGTTGGCTGCTTGAAAGACAAGTGTACCATTCTCACTATATAACGCACATTCAGATGGTGCCTTAACAAGCCGTGATTTAAATGCTGCTGTAATTTCTGCTGTGTGAGATTATATAATATGAGGCACATATGAGGAATTAAATTTTGCTAAATATGAAATGACATTTGTTTTCACGTGTGCTACGGGATAAAAGACAACATCTGAATGTGTTTTGACAAATAAAACTTATTGTAAACATACAATATTAAACACCCTGTCGCGAAGAACGGGGACCGATATTAGCAAGCAATCACAATCGATTGAATACCCGTTTTAATCGTTACATTTCTCACTAGAAATTGTCACAAGTCCATAAAATTTATAACGATATTTAACATATTCATTTATCATATTTGAATACATTATTTATTAATTCAAACCAATTAAATTTCGAAATAGTCGACGAATCTCCTTATCCATAGGCAATATTACGATGGATCGATAACCGATGTCTTCCGTTCTTGGGTGCAATTTTGTCGCTCTTGTAAATTATCAATTATAAAATAACATTACTGGACGAAATGGTGGAAATTCATGATCCTGTTAATTGAAAAATTTGCAAATTTTGCGCTAAAAATAGTTCGATAGATCCTCAGAGATTTTTAATTTGTAAATTCATATGATGTGAATGAAACAATAGAGATAGAGGCCGAATTGAGCAGCGCAATTTGTCTCGATTATCACAGTCATAGTGATACGCGAACCGGTCACTCCAATACGTAGTTTGATTAGCAATTTACGCACTTTTATCGTTTACCGGTTATTGGTTATTTGATATACAGATTTGTGCTCTTTTTTTTCTACCACAGTTTTTGGTCATTTTTGGTCACGAGAACAAATTGTGCTGAAATAACGATACCGTGTTGTTGTATCGTTTTACGATGAAACAAACAATATTCTTCGGGAGGATATATTTGATAAGCATGTCATATTTGTGATAATATGTCGTTTTCTGGGATCGCTTTATAAAAACGTACAGGTATAGAAAGCAAACTGAGAGTCGCTAAATGTGATAGACGCATTAGTGAATGACTTATTTCTAATTAATGTGCAGTTAAAACGTTAAATCCATACTCTTTCTCTTCTATATACAATAACAATATAAAATGTTTCTAAAAACAAAAAAAGTATGCAATTAGTTTTAATTAAATTTCATAGAATTTATAATTCATGACAGAATTTGAAATGGAATTTTATGCATATAATTTTATGTGCTAATACAAAATATATTTGAAAAACTTAGGGAATACGTACATATACAAAAATATATATCAGCGATGCGTACATGTGTATTTCAATTCTTCAAATATTAATGCAGCATATAAAAGTAAAAGTTCTATCTCGAATTCTTTTTCATATAAAGCGGATAAATCACTTGAACTTTAATAATGTTTAAACAAATTATTTAAAGGTCTTAAATTAACTAATTATAGAAATGTTAACCGGTCATTCACTGAAGTATCTATCTTACAAATTATAAACGGTCACTTGCGAATAAAATTCTGTTAGAGAAACTGACAAAGATATTCTTCTGCGATATAGACGCGCACATATTCTGAAAATCAAATAGCTTATATTACGTTTAGAATAACATACTAAAAAAAAAAAAAGAAAAAAGCAACGCAGCCAACCGTTCCTTCTATGTTCCTTCTGTTAACATAATATGTTAACGTAACACTCCTTCTTTGGCCCTCGTGTCCACTTTCGTGTCACGATGATAGAAAAGTCCATGCGATGTACAAGCGGTACCGTCTCTCGCTCGACATTGTAGAGCACTGTGTCTTTGTCATTGTCACGCTGTCGTCGCCGAACACGAGGCTCTCTCGTGGAACTCGAGCAAACTCGTCGTGTCTTCATCTGAGCACCTGACCTGATCGGGCCAAAACGGCGGCCAGGAAGAATAGCGGTGAACTCGCGGCACCTGCTCGGGTGACCTGTGCACCGCTATGATGTAGTTCGGCTAAACTTTCTCCTGAAACAGCGTCAAACACACTCACAAGGAAAGGACACGCTCGCGAGAGTGGGCCTTCCTCCGGTAACTTTCGGATATTTTGTGAAATAGTAATGGCTGAAATGAGAACTACTCTTTGTGCACCGCAAATATCGCATATCGCAAATTTAAAAACTGGTGTCAATGGTCTGCCGGAATACGTATATTTGCACAGTATTTTGTTGAACTATGATAAAAATACAACAGTGTCTCGCATTGTCTGCGACATATTCGGAGCTGATCAAAATGGATGACAAATAGTCGCAAACATTTCTGTATTAAACGCGAGATCTGATCGAATTTGCATGCGTTCATCAAACATCAGTCATAATGCAAGCTCGAGCGATATAATGTAAATATCAGGAAGCATCTTGTATAATTCGATTCCAACTGAGAACGTGCAGCGCTTGTATCAAGCTATAGCGGAAGTTAATCGAAGTGACATTTGTGCGCGAGTCATCTTGTATATGAGATTCCTGAGGAACCGCGAATTTCCCGTGGCATACAATTCACACAGTTGAGACGTAGACACGATCGTATGTCATGCGGAAGGCATTTGAATTTGTGAAAGAACTTTTTCGCATATTTTGCGCGCGGCGCGAATTTCGTCGTGAAACGATTCGTCATCGACGATCGTATCACGCGAATATCTTTCTTGCAAGACAGAAATATCCTATGATTATGAGTATTTCTGTATTTTTTTATATCTTTATTTTTTTTTCTTTTTTTTTATTCTGTTCAATCAAAACTATTTTTCGAGGAGTTGAAGAATTCTATATTTTCTATTTTCAATTCTCCACGATTTATTTTCTTTATCAAATTAAATAAAATTGTTTCATTTTCTACTTTTAATTTAAAAAAATTTTAGTTTTATAAAAATAATAAATGTCTCTCAAATTGCAAATATCTATCTGAAAAATTTGATATAAAAAAAAATGGATACAAGCTTCGTAAAGATACAGATTTTCTTACAAAGACATTCTATCAGCTCAGGGAACGCAACGAAAATTCAATAGAGATTAGCTTGGAAACGATAACACGTAGGTTGTAACATCAAAGTAACCGTGTAAAGTTTGTCCGCGCAGTTAGAAAATTCGACTTAGCTTCGTCGCGCGGAAGCATTTTAAGAAGATCCTTTACAGCAAGTTTCAAGACTTTCTCATAGGAGTCAAATATCACAGGACTTTTAGGCGCATCCGCACAAGCACGGTTCAAGATAAATATTAGATGCTTTCAGAGTACGTGCTTTAAGTAATAAATAGTCTACGAGTCTGCAGTAATGTCGAAAGAGCTAGGCATATACGAACGTTTTGTTTGCAGTTTTCGCAAAGAAGCAAGTGTGAATGCTGTACATCGGTGATGTCGAGAAATTGCGAATTATTTCAGAAACAATTTCCTTCGTACGATAACCCTGTTATTCTATTTGCCAGTCATTGAATCTTTTTAGACGAACTTCTATAAATAATCCCATAATTGCCCGCGCAGTATTTTAACAACTAATTTTTAATTTGATAAAAGCAATTGTAAATAAAAAAGATATTTGGATATGTCTTAAATAGCGCAAATAAACTGTTGAAAGACAGCATTGTTAGTTTGGCGTGTTTGGACGACAGGAGCAATATATCATATCAAAGTATAAAAGTATGCTCACCGTTTAAAACGTGCACGTGAACCGTGGCAGGTTGGTCTGGCATGGTGGTAAGCTGGCACGTGTAATTTCCGCTATCCGTAGGTCCGACTTTAGCTATGCTGAGAGTCGAATTGGCCCCCTCTTCCATTAGGTCCGTTTTCACGCTATAACATATATGCACAATGTTGAAATTTGAATATCTCGGAAGATCGTTGACGAAAAGTTCGTACTGTGCTGTGACGACATAGGTACATGTTTTGTACATATACACAGGCGACCAGGTATGCTTACATACATGAGATTGCGCGAATTTTAGAGACAACTTTACATGGAATGTGTGGATCATACGCTTGGATGCATCCGTTAGTAAAAAATCTGATATCTTATGCTAGTAAAAAAATTATATTTTTATTGATCAATTTATTTATTGTATAAAATATTATTTATTGTTTAACTTTACGTTGAATTATTTATATTTGCCAAACATTTGAAAATGTTGAATTATCAGATAGTTTTGAAATATAATGCACAAATATTTAGATACAATGAGCATTCTCTGAATTATCTGAAATTGGCATGAGTTTATAGAAGAGAATACTTTTGAGAATACTTTTAAAAATACTTTTGGGAATACTTTTCGTTTGTGTATGGCTGAAAGTAGTACAAATATATATGTGTTTTCTCCCTGGCACTAATGCTCGGTGAGAATTTGCATATTTCAAATTTTTACTTCAAGTTTTTACTGACGTATTTTCAACAATTACAAGAATGATCTGCTGTGATAATTAGCAGATTGCTATAGAAGATATATGTCGACCACGATAACATTTTGATGGAAATGTTTCGAGCAAAATTGCGAATGCGAAATCGCGATTCTTGCTGTGACGCAAAGGGAAAGAGAATCTCCTAAGGCTAACGAGAACTCCTCAATTTCGCCAGTTTCTCTGTCTTTGCGCCACGCTTTCTTTGTCCTGACTAATCGCCAACGTTCCATCACTTTGCTCGAATCGTTTTTCTTCTTCCTGCTTTTTTCCATCTCTCACTGGCGCACTTGCGCTTCGTGTTCGCACGCTTTTACGTCAACTTTTTTTTACAGTAGAGGAAGTGAGTTAATTGCAAATCGAGCCATAATTATCGGCCTCCGCAAGAATAGTTTAGTCTATACTTTGCTTCGTGCAAACAATAAACCGAATAATAAGCTCCGACTGTCGAAGAAATATTTGCGCAGAGTCAGCGAATCAAATGGTGTGTTTCATATTGGCTTAAATAGGTCTTTTTTGCCGTTGAGTCGAGTTGGATATTTTAATCTTATGCAAACAATTTGCGAATCTATTTTTCTGGATGCTGGATATATAGTAATGTTATCACAATGTATCGTTTACGAAAGTTTTATCGAAGAATAAATATAATTTTCTGCTTAAGTTGTTGAAGATAAAAAGTGAAAAAATTCCAAATAATGCAGATGCAAATGCAGCGCTTAATAATATTCTTTTATATTTAATGATTTTCTTTTGTGTTCTTTTATATTTGTCAATACAATTTCATCGAGCATTATTTCCACGCGAATATCTTATTCATTTTCCATTGACGCATACGTCAGGGAACGATGTATACATTAGATTTGCATAAACTATTAAATGTAGCAGTAAATGTGGATCTCGTCTTTTTTACGATTGCGTTTTGAAAAGAAGAGCGATGACGCAATGAGACTCCGTTCAAGTGCGCTAATTGCAGGCAAAAGTATACTCGGTTTTTCTTTCAGTAGAAAAGCTCTCGTGCAACCACGTTGCAAAGATGTCTTGTGGAAAATTGCTCTCGTACTTGACGTTTCTATTTTTGTGAGAAACTGATGGAGAAAAACAGAATCGTTCACGCGAACATTTCACGAATGTGGGAGGTGTAAGTGGCATGTTGTGGTAGAGCAACGGATATTGAAGGAAGGTGGCAGCTAATATAGTTAGCTGTATTAATTATGTTATATTTTTATAATTCCCCGAAATACTTTTTCAAAATAAATGCAGTTACCATGGCGTTTAGTTAAATATGATTTTTTCTTTAAATTATAATAATAAAACTTAGAACGATTTTGTTAACAGTCTCGTTTGCCTTAACGATGATTGCGTTGTAGTTGCGTGTTACACGGACTACTAATTCGCCCTTTTAAAGGCTACTTGACATTTAGAGTAGTAAACGTACGATAAATATTTTACAGCAGGAATTTTTAGCATCTGCTTTTCGTGTTCTGTACACGTCAGATGCGACCGCGTTAGACAAAAGTATGCGCTCTTTTACCGTCCCGTTGTATTGTCATTGTGTCATGTGTCCTGTGAGAGCAATACAAGTTCTGAAAGTGCTATTTGATAACAGAAACTTGTCTCCTTACGCTTTTTAACGGTCGACTACGTCGAATTGTTTTAAAAGACTATATTTAGTTGCAACTTTATTTGGAGCGGAATCCATAGATATTATTTACGGTATTTTGTTATGACAACTTTTTCGAGTTTATAAAGAATAAAGACAGACAGAGAGAAGAAGGGCAGGATAGGAAGAGAAAAAGGGGAAGACAAAATTTACAACAAATTATTTAAATACGATCTTGACAATCGTCGAACAAATCCAATTTGGGGTTTGATTCATAATCGCTACTGTAATCGTTTTATTTAGTTGCATTGCGATTATTCGGAATGTTCTGTTATACGACAGCATTGCCATACAGCTTTCACGAAACGATCCCACGTGTCGCGCAATTGCTGTTCAGCAGTCGTCGTTGCTTTCACGTTCTACAACGTTTAACGTGAAATCCCGCAGAGAGACAAAGCCTTCCTTTTACAAGCACTTCTCCACCTTTACCCTTCGCGGAGCGTCCTTATTTATGCCGGGTTGCGTGTCACGCTGAAACTCGTCGTGACCGAGAGAGGTTTTGAATCGCGCCGGCACAAGCGAGACTTTAATCGAAAAAGTTCCTACACTGCAATTTGTCGCGTTCGTTACCTCCGGCCGGTTGAACACTAGGGTGAACGATCAGCTCGTTTATCCGCAACGCCGGGCATCCACGCCTGAATCGAGTAATGTAAGAGGGCTTTGTGAAAGAGCTTGACAATTAGTTTGATACAAAGATGCCGCAAGATACGATGCTGTTGTAATAAAATAAAACTTGAAAATAATTATCGCAAATTTTAAAGTTAGCTTAGAAAAATGCGGAACCAAGTGCAAAGTTAGACATGGTTGCCTTTATGTTTTTTAAATAGGTACAAATAAAATGTACCATACATTTATTGTTATGTAAAGAAGTTCAGAAAGTAACGATGAGAATACAATAAAAATTAATTCTGCATATATTTTTAAAATTTTTATTACGTTTGTATATCTTTACTTTTTGGAATACTATCATAATTATCGTGTTCTAAGTGATTTGAAGTTCTAATTTCTCAGTAGTAGTTTTAAGAGATTTCACAGTGCTACTAATTATTCGCCTGGCGTTGCTAATTACTGCGTTTGTGAATAAAGTTGAGCTGCGTACCAAGCTTAAGTAATAGGATTAATGTCACTGGTGAAAATTCCACTGTATGTATAGTCCGTGTAACTTTAATGCAATGATAAATGGCAATTGGTGCAAGTTGCGGAATGCACGATAATTACAGCATCGGGAGACTCGCGTACTAAATTAAACGTTGTTTGCAGGAAGAAACTATATTTCTTTATAATCTCGTTAAACTTGTGCTTTTTTTTATTTCTCACCGATAAGCTTACCAAAACAAGCAAGCGTAAAATCTGGGTTTTTCACATAGTCTCGTGCAAATACGTTCGCAGAAGTTTGATTACTCTTTTCGTGATGTCCCGAAATTGACAATACGTAACGCCGTATAGCGTAGCTGAAATGACAATGATTAATCGCACGGGACATTACTTTGATCGATGAATTGACGTGGCTGTTAACCCCGTATAAGCGATTAGCCATTTCTCTGTCCACGACGCAAATCAGCCAAAACGCGTCGGTACTGTATAATACTAGCAATTTATCATTCAACGTGGTGTCGCGGCACAGCGGATACTCTTTTTGCTGATGCAGCGTGGACGCGTCCACCGCGTAAAATGAGTTCAATAATCAACCCGTTAGCACCTTCATATGTGATAACGTGAGAAACTAGACGACATGGAAATAGCAACTTACGAAACTAATTACATCCTACTTTTTATTTTTACGCGTATCGATTTCTAATTAAATCTTCATATAAAGAAATTTAAATTTTTTAAATAAAATAATTACTTTTTTATTATTAATTTAATTAATAAATCAAAATAAGCTTATACTATGAATTTACTGACGTATAAATGGCAGAAGATATTCTTCTTCATGTGAGAAATGGTGAAGTTAAATACCAATTTCTTAATAAAAGTTAACATGTTTTTCTGCACTTAGCGATTTTTCCATAATATTCTAAAAATAGTTTTTCATATAGCATTTCTTTCCATTTATAATATATTTATATATGAATATATCACCGTAAAATTTGACGTGATGTAATATGTATGTATAATATTTCAAAATTCTTTTCTCTTCAAGATGCTTTCGCCGTCACAAGTATCGATTTTATTTCTTTCTTTTGTTGTCTTCCTTTTTACTTTAATTTCGTATCGCGCGTAAAGACTAGCGAGCGCTTGATGGATCGTTGTGCTGTCCTGACAAACAAAAGTACGGAAAAATCATTAATGTATTCAAGCAAGCAATATGTCTTTTGTCACGGCATAGATTGGCTCAAGCTAAACCTACATTGCGGATGAATTAAGATTGATCGTAAATATAACATTAATTCGACGGTGTGGAAAATTAGATTTAACGCCGGTCAACTACGCCCACGCTTTGTACTATCGCTGTCCTAACGAGGAGGTTTAATTACGATTCCGAAAATTTAATGTAATTTGACACTGCATAAAATGCTATTTTCCGTCGTGCGGAACTTCCCTTCTATTTCATGATCATTACACCGTCAAGGGTTTTAGTGCAATTTAATGCGATTAAATGCAATGTTAAGCGCAATAAATTCATTGTCACGTTCTCTTCAAATTTAATAGTATTTGTAACTAATTCGATTAATTATTAATTTGGAATATATTGCTAGTTTAGCAACGATTAATATGTATTAATATAATTTAATTAATATCTATTTATTTATCAGTATAATACTCGTATTTCTTTTCTAAAAACTTCGGAAGGTGGAATATAAGAAACGCTGCGTTTTCATAGCTTACAATTACATTATTTTTGTGAACTGTTATATTTTTATGTTTTAATATATTTTTCAATACTTTAGACAAATTAGTTAAACTATAATTTGGAAATAATATAATTTAGAAAAAGAGTAATTTCAGTATATGTATATGTATAATGTCAGAAGATTTTCTAGTCTATTTTGCTCAAGGTAAAAAGCCAAATTATGATTGGTAAATAATTATATTTTTGACACGCGTTTAGTAATTATTGTAACTCTCTCTAATGTGAGAATAATATATACAGAATGGACCACGGAACTGGGTCGAGTTCTAATACTTATTCTATTGAAGATTACAAAAAAACGGTAGAGGCAAAAATTGTAAATGGTATAACATGAAAAATTTTTGTTATCGACTTTTTCGTTTATTCACTGTTTGCATTTACAGAAAAAAGTGAGTTGATAGAAAAATTTTTCATGTTATACCATTTAATTTTTACCTCTACTATTTTTTTCTATCTTCAACACAGAACAAGTGCTAAATTCAGTTTTCGTGGATATCTCTGTATATTCAATGAAAAAGGATATAACAATTTTGGTAATTGTCTTTTGCTGTTACTTAAATTTTGGTATTGCCATCAATAAATATATAATTTTCGAAGGTAGGAATTTTATCTCCTTAAATTCATCACTTTTCTTCTTGTTTCTAATAAAAATTTCTCTTCACGAGAATACCGCAACGTTGTTCACCTTTTTTGCTTTGGTGCACTGGAACCGACAATGGGGTATCTAAAAGCGTGAGGCCATCAGCGACGCGTCGTTAAATTATAGGAGGGTCAGGTCGACGGTGGGTGATTAATTAAACGAAAGGTTAAATTAAGCGAGATAGCAATAATTCTCGCTCGTTCGCCACAGTAGACGCTGTTACGTTGGGAAAAATAACGAGTGCCATGCAGTGGCTTCATGTGCACCGTGTTTACGGTTTGCGGTCCACGCAGGGTCGTGTTCCATACGGATGAACAAAAGAGAGAGAAAGAGAAAGAACAGTATTTAAGCCAGTTTGCGTAAGATATAGTCAGGTCCGACTTATGAAATATAATTAAAACAATTATCGTGACAGCAACAACATTTAAAGATGACAAAAATTATCAAAAGTAATGAGAAAGATGTAAAAAACTGACTTTAATCAATCTACCAAAAATAATTTTAATTCTTTTATTTTTAATAAAAGAATTAAACAAAAACGTTAATTAATATTTTAATGTGTCTCGAGTGACAAAATATTTAGTACCGATGCGGCATGGTTGCTAGGTATGTAGATCGCAGAGGGACGTTATTCTATTCTCGCAACGAGATCCACGACCTCGTGTGTGTAAAGTCGTCTGTGTATGTACAGAAGCGCACAACGCAAACTAATTTCATTTACTGTCCCACCGTGTCTCACCGGCAACGTAACTTTACTGTTAGACTGGGCCCACAAAAGCATCGGTCCCGTCGACCGAGAACCGGCCTCACCCGCGCTGATGCTTTTCTCGTCGACACACCACCGTCCTAACTCTCGCGGCTGCTGTCATCAACCACCGTGTACGCCGCCGTATGAGCACTCCACCGGCACGTATTTTCGACTCCTTTGGGGATTCGCGTATTCTGGCTCGGGAAATCGCGAGCGAAAAGGTGTATTGGAAGCGATGACATTCACCGTTCTACATCAGGGCTCTGTCACAGATAAATTTCGGGCGAGTAAGGGTTTCGCGAAAATTTTGTGTAAGTTTAAACTGACAGTATCTTCTGAAAATTTTCTCAAAAGTTTTCGAAATATAAAAAATAGAGGTATTTATAACTTTTCTTATTAACGTGTAACTTATGCTTATCAGAAATATAAAATAAAAAATAAGTAGAAAAATAAATAGGTTTCTTAAAAAAGACTGAAGAACGCTGCTATTCGTGAATGTTAATCTTTCATCTTGTTTTATTTTTTTTTTTTTTTAATTTTTGAGATTTGCAGCTGTGAGCATAATTCAACGTGATAAATTACATCGTTTATCATACTTAACAAAACGATGCTGGACGAGACGGCAAAAACGCGGATACGCGACAACGTATAAATGGGAAATTTCGTGAGTTTTTTTTTACTTTCGCGAGATTTGAACGAAACGCGTGCGAACAGAACGCGTTGCATAATGGAACTGTTTTATATCCATGTCTCATTGGCCTACGACGTGGAATGAACTATATATTAACGAAGCTTAATACGACGGCGTGTCGTTTTTGTCTTTTTCTTATTTCTGTCTGAGTTTTATTCAGCGTGACAGTTGAACGAGCCGGCGAGAGTCTCGTCGCTATTATACGGATCGCGGATAATGAATTCTTACGCTAGAATCGGTCCCTTGACATTCTACTGTTCCAGCCAAGTTGTAGGAATCTATAATAATATATAATCCATGACGCAAGATGGAAGCGACTCGTATTTTTCAACGCCTCGGTGAAACGTTCCTGCGAGACATACAAAGAGCGAGAATTACGCGCGCGCGATCTACACACATTTGACTTCCTACGGCCGTTTCTGCCAGTTGACATAGAGTCTTTCAACCGTGCGTAAATGCTCGTCAAACAAGGAAAAGTTTCGTGAATTAATTACACTTTGCTCGCATAACCGCATCTGAAGTTTGTCTGACGTTTAGATTATGCATTCCTCATATTTGTCGAAAAGCATTTCGAGCTAAAACGACTTCGCGCAAGCAAATTTCGTATAATAGAGCTATTAACTTTAAAGATCTCTTCGCGCCACGCGACTTTCGCAGTATAGCATATTGTCGTAAGATTTCATTAGACTGGTTTAATTTTATATTTCCATGTGCTTGTGGCATTATAAAGTGAAATGTATTGATACTTCAGTTTAAATCAGTAAATATCTATGTTATTTGTATAACAATACGATGTTTACGTAATATATAATAGCTTTGACGCAATAAATGACGAATAGGAGACAATTTAAATACGAAATAAGAGCAACTTGAGCAAGAAGCGATTTCTACTCAGATTGCACAAAAACATTCTGGGCACATCCTGGATATCTTCAGGATATGCTGAGGCAATTCTCAGGATATCGGGATATCTCTAAGATGTCTCCAGGATGTTTTGTGCTATGTGAGTATTTCTTTGATATTAAGTAGGAAAAAAATTTATTTAATTTAAGAGTTTGAGTCACCTGATTCCGCCTCTCGTCGTGTCGTAGTTCAAGATTCTGTTGCCATGGAGCCACTGAACGACGCTGTATTGCACCTGCATCGCTATGTGACGCACGACACATAGTAGCTCGATAGTACTATCAGCTTCGTAGTACTTGTCCCGCAGTGGTTCGCCCAAGGCGTCCACTATTTGGACGGACGGCGCTGAAATCCGATTAAATGTGTTAGGCCTAAAGATAAGACTTATCAATTTGTATTTTTCAATCGGCAACGGTGTTAACATAATATTATTGTTTTGACAATAACATCTTTAACTATCCATATCCGCGTTTTTCATGTGCCGAACATTATATAATTTTGATGAACAAAAGAAAGATTATTGAACATGCAGTCAGTTACTTTCCAAGCGTATTTTCACGATCTAAAGTTTGCATCTTCTTCAAGTTTTCGAGTCACTATATTAAGGTAAAAGTACTCACTACTTTTGCTTTAAACAGTATACTGCAACTTCCGCGAAAGTTATATATGTATCGTATGATACATCAAGTATCATCGCAGTTTGTATTTAGAAGTCATCTTATTACATATTGCGACATTGTCGCAACCAATTCATGAACAATGAATTTCCATTAAAAAATCGCCTTTTTGTTTCAAGAAATTTACATATTGTATTTTTCCGCAACTTGAAGTATACATGATGCGGTAAATTAAATTGCAAATGTTAATTTGCATCACAGTGAAGAAATATTTCATAATTATTCATTATTTGTCGTGGAAAAAATTAATTAATCGGCAAAAATAATTTTAAAACATCGAAATTGACGAGTTTCGTAAACGCGGAATGATTTTTATTCACCATGACATATATGTCGCAACGGGATGCATATCGCTCTCATTATCGATGGTACTTACGATGCGATTCTGCCTTGCAATTCCTGCCGGCAATTACTTGGAAGGTCCTTATTCTAACACGATCAGCATTATTTGTAAAGTCGAATTCACCGAGGAGCAATTTGCACGTCATGAAATTCGGCCGTATACACAAACGTGATATTGGATTACATCGAACTCGGCTTCAAATATTTAACTTTATGGCCCAATAAATATCTCTCATATTGACGTCATTGGCCTGTCCACACGATCGTGCACCCAACACTATCAGGTGGAGTGGCCAGGCGGGGGGGGGGGGAGGGAGGAGGAGGAGGAGGAGAGAGAGACTACCCAATTCATTCGTATATATCTGCATCGCCGTCTTTTTCATTGGGCTGGACCATTTCCAACTGGGGTACGCTCTACCTACGAGCTCGTGTCCGCCGCGCAACGTACGGCCACCGAAAGAAATCACGAAAAAGGGAAACGTTTCGGAGATAGATCAGAGTGTTCTTCCCGACCCGGTGCTCGACCTCATGAATATCACGCGAAATGTAATCTCTCTCGCGCGCTCGCCTTTTTTCTTCCCTCACGTGCTTTCGTTTTTTTCTTCTTTATGTTCTCTCTCTCTCTCTCTCTCTCTGAGGTATGCCGCATTTTATTCCGCACGCTTTTTCATGAGGCGATACAAAATTCTCCGCCACCATGTCCGAAAAATATGCTTTTCGCTTATTTCTTTGTTTTTTCCTTTACTCGATAATTCCGCGTTAACGCTTGCAAATTTCGAGGTACTACATGTTTTCGCAATTAGTACGAATAATGGAACTTCGATCAAATGCAGTTTAAAAAGAAATGCAAGGGAAAGATGGGAGAGGAGCTACTTTTTAAATCTTTTATATTTGCCTGTATTGAACGTCGCTATAATACAAAGTATATATATAATCTATAATTATATTCGTTGAATAAATCAGATTAGGTCAGATAGACGGATGAAATCATTTTTAATAGAGTATTAAAATTTAATAGAGTATTAAAATAGAGTATTAAAATTATGTGCGATCACGTTTATTGAAAAGGATATCTTTTTTTCGCATAGTCATTATCAGTGCATCACATTTCAGCTTATCGCATTATCGTAAAATGCGTGAGAGATGGAACTTGGGCAAAGTATCTTCCTCGCTGTTGCATGAATCTGTAAGGCACATCCATTTCGCTGTTGAAGTTTTTAAAAGTTGAAAGCAAATTAAGTTATATTTTATCCGTGATATAAGTGCGCCGTCCTGGCGCGTGCTCTTATTCGCCTCCGCTTCTCTTTTTATTAACATCTTGACGGAAAGGGGACAAGCGTCGACTAAATTGCCAAAGAAATCGGCGACGGTGGCGGCGGTATGAGAAGACGAACGATAGGTAAAGGTCGAGGAAGTAGGACTGCATACCAAAATTTCGGCTACTTTATCTCGTGGCAGTCTCAGCCTCTTCTCTCTTGGATTAAGTGTTGATCCTTTGCCTTACGTGCGTCCGCCCCAGCAAAAGCATTTCTCGAGAACGGCGCAACGACAACGCCCCCAAAAGAAACGGATGGAATTACATGCTGCGCATTTAATTATATGACGATTTATCGATTTATATAGTAATTATATTTTGGGTTGTCTCTCGAATATATGTAAATCATTTTCATGCCATTATATTAACAGTCACCCAGACATTAATTCTGCGCTATTTATATTTTGTATCACATTTCATTGTAGCATAGTTATATTAATTTTCATTCTATCATTTAATTACATCATTCCGCGTATCATATTTCATCATTCATAAATAATTATGAATAATTACATTTAAAAGATTAATCGATTCACTTTTTGATAGAAGACATTTTTTTTTCTCTTTCTCGTTTATGAAGTTTTTTTGATGAATGTCTATATCCATGTACGTAACGATTTATTGTAATAACATTGTTTTCTCATTTCGACTAAAAAAGTAGCATTAATAACCAATTGGAACGCGTGATAATAACCAGGCGGCATGCATTCATATATCTTGCGTTAATTATCCTACAAATGCTTACCCATCGATAAAACGCGATTGCAAGATTCACACAACAATTGACAATTGTGCTTGCCGTAATTTAACTTTCAAAGTTAAACAGATACAAAAAGAGAACAGATTGGCTGGGGGCAATGAGAACGCGCGATTCGACTATATATCGTTCTTTCAACAGTATTTGACGTTTCAAACTGCGTAACAAACGATCGCATGAGGGGCCGCGCACAAAAGTGTCGGCGGCATGAAACGATTAAACTTTAATTGTACGAACGCCAAATGATATCTTGATAATAGGGAGCGCAAAATAAATGGTCAATAGTACCACTACAGCGTCATCGCCATTGTATTACAAATTGTCAATAAAAAATAGCATTTTTCCATAATTGACGCGAATATATTATCGTACATACCGCAGGAATTATTCCGACAAATTATAAGGAATAGAGAAATGTGTTACAAGATTAAGTGCAAGGAGGATTTTAAGCAGATAATCTCTTTGAACTCGCGTTAGGAGATTTTCTCCGCTATAACATGAGGGAGCTACACCATCTCATCCGATGGAGGCGAAGGCTTACGATATAATCTCACATCTGCAAAAGCGCGCGCACGGACTGGGAAATAAGTAAAGGAGGAAACCTCCGCTCCGCGATCCTTTTTATCGTGAAGTCTGCAATTTTATGCGATTTCGAGGAAACGAAAAAAGCCGGTGCCGCCAGCACGATGTCGCATTTCTATCTGTATAAATAGATTTACCAGAATTTTTGCCGTATCTCTTTTTGTGTGTTGTCGTTTTGAGAGTCTTGATATTTTACATAATTGAATTAAAAATCCCAAAATACTCGCGTTAATCGTCTATTTCAGATTGATACGCAAATTCATGCGGGATGCTTCTCTATAAGCTCTTATTTTGGGATTCTTTCTTATCAGGAATCAATTTATGCGATTTGGCGAAAGCGAATAAGTGATAACGCTATGTATGGATAAATTACTAGAATTTTTACCGCATCTTTATTCGTATCATCTTCAGCTGAAAGTCTGAGTCAGATTTTATATGACTCGATTTGCTGTTTTTTTTATAAATTGTATCTTGGGATTTTTTATAAAAAATTTTATGAAAACATTTTATAAAAAATCCCAAAATAATTATATCAAGAATTTATTTCGGTATACAGATATGTACGGAATTTCTGCGTCTTTTTGAGTCTTTAATTTGAGATTCTAATAAATGTATCCGCTATCTACCTTTATTATCGTCCTCTGATGCCGGTTCTTAGTTTCTATGGTCTTATTGTCGATCGTTAACTTTTAAAATTAGATTTCTTCCTTCACGTTTATTAAAATCTTCCGCCGTTTACAATTTCCCATTGCCTCATTCTCATCCTTGGTTTTCAAATGGCATTTTACCTTCGTATCCCTTCATTTCGTCGAATGGTAAGACATATCTCGATTTCATTCCGGATTGCGCAACGAGATGAAGTTCTGTCGCTTTGCACTGTGCCTTTCTTCTGAACCAAATAGACCATGGTCTTTTTCTTCTTTCTATCTTACGTTCTACGGGACACTTCGTTTTCAATTATCCTTCTAAGCGATCTCTACCGCAAGAACACTGCGAACAAAGTCAATTTGCTCCGATCGACAGATTGCTTCGAGCTTCTCTTCTTCTTTCTACTCTTCATGTCGCTCTGAATCGTAATATATTATTGAAGACATATCTGTTTTTTCTTCTCTTATTAATTTAAATGAGCGCAAATAACATTGGAGAAAGATATGGTTCAATAGTAAGTTTTTTTTTTTTTAATTGTAATGTCAGTGCCATTTTAATTGTTGAATTTACATCTATTCATATATGCGAGACATGTATATGTGCATATATGCATGCGCATGTAACTTTAACTTTATTAAGTAAGAGCCCTTACTATGCTCCAAGGAATGTAGTTTCCTGTGTTGTTCCATCAAATACATACATAATCTCTCGTTTAAAAGACGAAGTAAAATCTACATCACAATCGTTCTACTATCTTTAATCTCTTTTATATCTTTCTACTCGTCGCGTAACGTCATGCTACATTAAATTCGTTTCGAACTCGGGCACGGTGCGGGTAGAATAAAAAGGCGTTAAACGAAAAAAAGAGACATATATAAACTCGGGAAAGTAAACAGCGGTGAGATTTTCCTTCTTTGCCCCACTTCTTGCAAGAGAATAAAACAATCGTGCGAAATTCTTCAAAAAGAGTTCATTTAGAATAATCCACAAGTGACATTTTAAATACGGAATTTAAATCCACGCTGTACGAAGAACATTAACATTATCCAAAACAAAAGCAAAGTGGAAATTTGCAAAGATAAATCTTTTTCTTTCACAAAGTTGCACGACTTTTAGTGTAATATTATCATTATTATTATATCGTTGCAATTTCGTTGACGTTAGGTAGAAGTCAGTTAGTTCACATTATCACTTACCGTTGATGTGTAGATTGACATGAATGAATTTTGGCGGATGAGTGCTGATTTGACATTCGTACTGGCCCTCGTCACTGCTGTTAACACGCTTGATACGCAGACGCCAATTATCCGGGTACTGAAATTCGATAGTGTATCGCGAATCGCCCGTGTACGTATGCTGGCCCACCGTCAGCAGACTCATCTTCTCGCTACTTTCTTGTCGTCGCAACCAGGACACCTGCGAGTACAAAGCAGTTTTTCTAAAAAAAAAACGTGATTGCTGTGCTGGAAGATCTTTTCTTGAGAAAAGAATTTCGTGGTTAATTTATTTTCATGAGTTGTTTTGAAATGTTATTAATAATCGTCATTAATATTTTGATATCTCCTCGCGGTATATCGGCTTTAAGAAACAGGTTTGTGTATTTTTTCAACCCAGATGTATCTAGCTATAGATCAACGCCAAGGATCACGCATGAAAGTATCAACAGGTGTATAAATAATCGTTTCCGTTGTCAGATTTTTTCCGATTGTATAGACAACTCTTACGATATATGCAAATATTTACTACGCCGCGATTTTTTTTGTAAAAAAATTTGATTCTTTTGAATATGAAAGTCGAACTGATATATTTAATTCGTTAGTTTTATTAAAATAATTTATTATTTTATTAAACTATACCTTTTAAAAATATTAAACAATCTATGAAATATATAGCTGTGATATTGGAATTACTTATATATTTATTAATTAAAAAAAAGAAAAAGATACTGATTGATATGTATAATTGTAAGATAATGTGCTGTCGTTCGCATAGTCTTTTTATTTCTAGGAGTATCTTTTAATAACGCTAATGCCGACCAGTCGAGATGAGAGAGTCTGAACCAAGACATAGAGAAAGCTATATTGATTTGAAAAGATAAAATATTAAAACAATTAAAATTAAGGAAATAAAGAATGAAGAACAAGATAATTAAGATTAAGATAGTAAAGAAATTAAAATAACGTGCAGAGTATATCAAACGTTGACTGTAATTCGTATCGCATAACGAAACAGAGTCACTGTACGATATCACAGTCATATTTGCTTTCACTTTGCTTTTGTATACTCTATTCTCTCTTATAAAATTGTCATATTTTATTATTTATACTTTGTGAGGACAATTTATAAATACTCTTTAATCCTGTTTTTTCCACGATAATATCTCTTCACAATCTCTCTTTCTCTCTCTCTCTCTTCTGATAATTTGTATAGTTAATTTGGTACTATTTTTTGCGCATTTATATAATAAATATTAGTAAATCTATGTCTCTCTCAAGAAAACCGAAAATAAAGAATCGATGATAACCTGCACCTTTATTTTATCTCTTCGACTCTGATGAATATTTTAATCGTAATATTGCACCTTCGTAATATTACATCGTAATATTGCAACCTTTATTTTATCTCTTCGACCCCGATGAATGTTTCCATCGTAATATTGCAATAATAATCAATAATCACTTAAATTCTCAATGACGATAGGAATCATTGATGTCATGATTAATAGACAGTCATCGATTATGTATTCATACCGTTAATGAATCAATCTAGCGCGGTATTTCTAGTGAATATCTCTATAGTGAATATCAACTCGACATGTATCCTCTTAACAATACGTAATGTGACTATTTTTTTAATGAAAAATATCTCCTTTTAATTTACTTTTTCTTTAGATAAGAAATAGCACGCGCTTTGTTATTAAATTGGATTATCTGTATAAAACAAATTCACACAATGAATCGGACGATCAATCGAGATTTGTATGACTTTGTGTGAACAGCAGGTTGAAGTACGGCGGTCACGAAGTAGTGGATGCACTATACTGTAACTGTAGTCCATCCACTATACTGTAACTGGAATCGAATAATGTATTACCGAGTAAATGTATGTGATATCATACATTCTCTATATGGA